ATTTGTCTTTTTCTTTCTGACTTACTTCACTCTGTATGACAGACTCAACTTTATTATTAAATAGAACTGAATTTTCAAAAACTATTGCTCAGTCATAATATTTTGCTTCTCAAGCATGTTTTCAAAGAACAGCTGGTTGAGTCAAAACATAGTGCTGAGAACTCTAAATAAAATACCATTCTAATCACCCATCCAACGACATTTATTGAGTGATTAACGTAAGTCTGTTACAATGTGAATGATAAAAGATAAGTACAGCACCAGTTAGGAGAGACAGGGCCAGATACACACTTAGAGGGTGACGAGAAAAGGGTAGAACCGAAGGATTCAGAGGGATGCAAAGGGGTGGGGGGAAGACTGCACATTTATTTTCCAGTGGTGAGGGAAAGATGAAAGGGGCTATCAGAGAAAGCTTGATACTTTTCTTCAGTCTTAAAGGATGGGGGGAACTTTCACCGAAAGTGAAGACTGAGTTGGGAGCATCCATAGTAGACGATACAGCATATTCATAAGTGGAGACTTACACTCTGGGTAACTCACTTCTTTTTAAGTCTGTTTTCTCATTTGTAAACTGGGAATAGTAACACTTTTCCTGGCTAAAAGAGAGTTATTATAAAGATCAAATGAGGCATTTGTCTAAAAAAGCACTTGCTGCTACTGATAACAGCTCTAATTTCAAAAGTGTTTTTTAGTATTTTAATATTATGATATTTATAATGTCCGTATATAATAACCTGATGACATAGTTATTATGATCTCCATTTTACAGATGACAAAACTGAGGCTCAAAGAGGAATGAATCCTTCCAAAAGTATGAAATAAAAGAACTGGGGTGTGAAACCTATATTCTATATACTATGTCTCTTGATTCAAAACTATAGAGTTTGACTAACACACCATTGTTAAGCAATTATACTCCAATAAAAACGTTTTAAAAAATATACAGTTTGACACACGTACGTGTGCGTGTGTGTATATATAAACATATACATATATCTGTATATATATATATATATACATACACACATATATATTTATACATATATATGAGGAAGAGAGGCTTTTCCCCTTATCCTGAGGACTTTCAAGAGGATTTGTATTTAACTCACTTTCAAGCCTCAAATTTAAAATTCAGGATTTTTGACCTAAGTAATTAAGGGTTAACATTTTTTTCTGGACAATTATCAAGTTGTCTTGTGTGTTATAAATATAATTCTAGTTAATTAAATCATTAACCTAGAATATCACTGAAGCTTTATTTGCCCTATAACCAGACAGGCACTCTTACATAAACTGCATTGCCAGAGGACACTGAGCCTGTCGCATTACTTCATTTTTCCAAAGGTTCCAGAATTGCCATACCAAGGCAATGGTTTTCAGGGTGCTTCTCCTTGAGGACCTCTCCTATTACAGCTCTAGGGAGTCTTCCTATTGTCTTCTGAAGGAATGTTCTCAACAGTAGTTAACAGCCACATGAATTAGACAATTTGCATAGGCCTATATTCAGGGTGAAGACTGACAGATGAGGAAGCCACACCTTAATTTTTTTTTTTTTTTTTTTTTGCGGTACGCAGGCCTCTCACTGTTGTGGCCTCTCCCGTTGCAGAGCACAGGCTCCGGACGCGCAGGCTCAGCGGCCATGGCTCACGGGCCCAGCCGCTCCGCGGCATGTGGGATCTTCCCGGACCGGGGCACGAACCCGTGTCCCCTGCATCGGCAGGCGGACTCTCAACCACTGCGCCACCAGGGAAGCCCAGCCACACCTTAATTTACAGTCTTTTTAAAAAGGATTCCTTACTTGACATTTGCATCTCCTGGGTGATTATTAACCAGGAAATGGGAGACTCTTGGGCAAAAATGAACAGAAGACATTCAAATTCAATTTTTCCAAAGTGATTATGTGAATATTACACTTTTTTTTAACCAAAGAACTATGTCTATTTCCTCACTGTTAATAGAAGTGTGCTGTAGATTCCAACTTGACCCCTTATCAATACTACATTCAATTCACAATATTGTGAATGATCCAGGGAACAAAAAGGATGTGGGTTTCCTTCTCCTTGATTTCTTTACTTACTATACATCTAGGAAAGTATAAAAATAGAAACAAAGGCCTCAGTCAACTGATGTCAATGATGGCTTCATAATAAAAGTCATTTCCTGGGTATTAAAAATGCTGAAATAGGTTAAGTAAAAATTTAACATATTTGAGCTGAGCTTAAGGAAATAATTGTATCTTTTCTGTGCTTGATTTTGAGTGATACCATAAAGTACCATTTTTGCACAAATACCAGTCCCCATAACAGATTCTAAGCCCTGGGGCAGTCCCCAGACTACTCTGGAACTTCTCTACTAGAACCTGTTACTTTTATTACGCTTCTGACAACTCTGAGAGCCTCTGGCTCTTTACACATTGCTCCAGAGTGACCTTGACATTTGCCATCTCTAAGTCCTTGTAAGGTACCTGATTCACTGAGCCTCAGTTTCTTCATTTGTCAAACGGGTCTAATCATACCTACCTCCTATAGTGTTTTAAGGAGCAAAGGAGATGATAGCGTGGAGAACACCTAACACACGACATGGTCGGCTCACAGGAGGCATTTGGTAACTGTTAGCTCCCTTCCCAGCTCCTGGATTTGGGCCTCAGTGCTGAACCACACACCCCAATTGCCCAAGTTGTTCATGTGGCAAGATGATGCGGAAGGCAGCTAGAATACCTAGACCAAAACCCAGACCGGAGAGGCCTGTCATCCTGTTTCTACCTATGATGTGTCATCTCAGGTTGTGCCAGCACCAGGCAGCTCATAAACTCTCAGGGTCAAAGGAAAAGATCTGAGGTGAGCCATTGCCTCACTGAGATCCGCGCTTCTCAGGTTTCAAGAAAGAATGTTTATCCTGCTCAATTCTCTGTCATTGTGCAATGAAGTGGACATCAGTTGTCTTGGATCTGTCATTCAGGAACACGCTCAAAAGCCCGTTTGGTTAAATGAACATGTCTGACTTTTAGATCAAGAGCCCCTAAACGTTAATTGCAGAACTCAAGAGAAAAATTTCTCCTCTTCATCCTGCAACAATCAAAGATTAGAAATGATAATTTAGGGCTTCCCTGGTGGTGCAAGTGGTTGAGAGTCCGCCTGTCGATGCAGGGGACACGAGTTCGTGCCCCGGTCCGGGAGGATCCCACATACCGCGGAGCGGCTAGGCAAGAGAGCCATGGCTGCTGAGCCTGCGCGTCCGGAGCCTGTGCTCCGCAACGGGAGAGGCCACAGCAGTGAGAGGCCCGCGTACCACAAAAAAAAAAAAAAAAAAAAAAAAGATAATTTAACTGTAAAATTATATATTATTTAGAATGCATTATCTAGTTTGAGGTATCTCAACCCTTTTACTTAACGTTGAGTAAGCTAAAAGTGCCAGCAAACCTGGGTGCGAACTTTTTCAGCGAAGCTTTGCTTTTCTATGGGACACCGGGTAACAGTTTCCCCATATATAAAGCAAGAACATCAATATCAAATATTTATAAAATGTAAAGGTAACCAAATGATTGTGGGGTGTGTGTAGCAATTTAAATCTGCATGTGTTGGAGACAGAGGATGGAAATGAAAGTGTCTGTATTTTTTCCACAGATATAAATACATGTGAATTCCACAAAAAAAAGCGAAAATAAAATGCTGAAATCTAAAATAACTGTTTCCTTCTTCTGAAGGCTAGACATTTGGGAAAAGAATTTCTAGGTAATATTTTGTCTGGGGGGAAAATGGCAATTTCACAAGTAACCGGTGGCCTTGCCTTTTTTCCATGTGCTTTGGAATAAGACTATTGAACTTGCATACCTGAATAGAGTACAGAGATATGATATAGAACTTCAAACAGGAACTTTCTAGTGGCAGGGAAATATCTAAACAAACTGGGAAAACAGAAACTGACCTAGCTCATTTGGAAATGGGCTTGGCCGCTTATGAAATAGGTGAACTATAATTAAGTAATGCAATAAAGGAGTTAAGCACTTTTATGGCAACAAAAACACACACGACACATATGCTAGGTAGGTAGTAACCAGGTTATTCAGAGGCTCTTGCTGTCTCAAATTAGCATATTCAATGAGTGGCCCAGAACAGACACTCACTTGCATTGTTCAGAGCAACCTTACAGGTGGAAAAAAAAAGCGCTAAGCTATTCTGATCTCTAGGTTAATTTCTAACTTTAGGAAGACTGTCACCTTTGTAAATTCATTCTTTTCACGGAGACTTCAAAACAAAGATAGCAAAGCCACATTATTTACTGAGAACCTTCTAGCACGTCGTTCTTAGTACAGTTTTGGTAGAAACCGCAGATCCAGTTTCCACCTATGTCCTTGAAGTTGGACGACTATGCATAGTTGTTACAACTATGCATAGTATGCATTTCATTAGGTTTCCCAACCCGTTAACATAAGACGTGTCGAAATAATAATTGAACAGTCACATCCTGCACAGGTAGAGTGAGTTAGGGGAATTCGCCTCATTGCAACTCCAGAAAAAAAGCGAGATTGACAACCTTTATTTCCTTATTAAAATTTTCATATACAGCTCCAAATTCCTCTTGACGTTTAGGAATTCACAATATATATTTTTAAACCAGTTAAGTTAAAGATTTTTTTTTCCCTGTCCACAAGAACTAAATTATCTCAAATAAGAAGCATTAAAGTACGCTCAGCCACTACAGAATACAAGGGTGCAAGTAGCAGCGAGCGAAAAGAGCCCGACCAGCCCGCGGGGGGAAACCGGAAGCAGCAGGTGTTGGCGTCCAAGGGCCTCCAGGAGCCCCCGGACCTGCGCGTGTCCCTCCCGCTCCGGGTACGCAAACATTCTCTGGAGCTTCAGCGAAGCTGGCACCGCCGCACGCCAGCGCCCCCAGACGCTTAACCAGCCTTGATTTAGAAAACCTAAGGCAAGACAGGCGGAACAGCGCTTCTCTCCAAAAGGTCTTTCCTAGGCGCGGGTCTTGTCCATACTCCCGCCTCCCGTCCCCGCCCCCAGCCCGGTTTTCCCCCGTCTTTTGGATTTCTAGAACCGTCAGATTTTCAAAAGGAAACAACAAACCCGAAATCTTTTCAACTTTTTATTTCGCCTAATACGGAGCTATATTACTTCATGCAGAACACACAGACCAAGTTCATCTATCCGTGCAAGGTATTTTAACACCAGCCCCTTCCCCTACCCCACCCTCTTCCATCGCCTGCTGGAGGGAAAGACGGGCTCGCCTAACGAGAGACGTCGTTCGAAACGGAGTACACCTGAGTCTGGTGAAAAGCGCGGTACTTGTGAAAGGACAGCTGCCCCGGGGCCGCGCAGTCTAGTCTTCCGCGGCGGGAAGTGGCGGGGGACTCACCCAGGCAGAGCAGCGGCGCGGGGACCCAGGGGGCACGGCGCGGCTCCATCCTCCTCCCCGCGTCAGCGTGTGCGGGGCGCGGGCGTGGCCTGGGCGGCGGGCGGGCGGGGACCGGAGGGGCTGCGGCGGAGGCGGCGGTGGCGGTGGCGGCGGCGGGCGCTGTGGGAGCTCCGGCGGCCACGCGTCACTTAAGCAGCTTTTCCCTCCGACACCCGGTCTGTAGGGCAAGTGAACTCCACAGCCCGCGCCAGACCTTTATAAGTACGGGGCGGGGCCTGGGGACTGAGGACTAACTGCGTGTCCGGAGTTTCATAATCGCCTCCGGGGGAGGAGTGGCCGGAGGACTGTCCGGATGTCATCCTCCCTCTCTGAACACCTGCGAGTGGCTGAGGAATGAAACAATGCTCTTCGGGTGAGCCGGGGACTACTCCCCACACTTTTGCAGCTCCCTCTCGGGCTCCTGCGGGCGGAGGTAGGGAGCGTGGACCAGAAGGGTTGGTTTGCGCTGTGGGACCACCTGCTGGATAGTGGGCGGTTTTAGTTGCTCTGGGTGACAGGCGTAACTTGAGTCAGCCAGTCTTCCTGTCAGGGCTGGAGTTCCCAGTACGTGCATTTGGAGAGCTGTGTGTGTGTGAGTGACTTACGGAAGTTCTTGAAACTTGTCAGTGGCTCAAGGACTTTCTTTGTGTTCACACCCACCACTGCCCAGAGTTGCTTTTTGTGTCTACACCTTCTTTCGAAGCCCCTCGGCTTCCTACGTGGTACAGGCATTTATGGCTTCAAAATCTAGTGATTATGAAGAAATAATCATAATTATTTCTTCATAATCATCATTTCTTCCCCTAAATGATTTAACTTCCCTGAACTTAATCCTGTCACTCCGCTGTACAGAATCTTTCAGTAACTTCCCGTTGCCTTTTGGACAAGGCCAGACACAAATGTAAAGCCAACAGTCTTTTCAACCTCAGCTCCCACTAGTTCACCGGACAAATTTTCGCACCCCAGCCAGGCTGGGAAACTCACTCTGCCTTTGCTTATTCCCACTTTCCTCCCTGTGCTGGTGGAGTGACAGTTTGGGGAAATGGCTGCGTTTTACTGGAGCTGGTCAAATCCTGCTCACTTTCCTGGTTCTCCTCAAGGGCCTGGATTTCTTGACCCTACAGGGATCTCTCTCCATTCTGATCTCTTACAGCTTGTATTGTTTATCTTTCCCCTAGACTCAGAATGCTAGATCTGGTACTTCATACCTGATGAAACTACTTTGATTTGTTTAACTTTTCTTGTTTGTCAGTCATATGTTCAGATCTGTATGAATACATAAATTGCCTTTCTTGTTGTTGTATTTCCCCTGTAGGGCCTGAAAACAGTGTGTCAATACAGCAGTACTGACAGCATAGTTGAATGGAAAATGGAATCTAATGGATGCTGGTTAACTCCTTACCTTTCTACTTTTTGTTTTCTTCTTATTATTCCTTTCCTTTTCCTCCCTCCCTCTCTCTCTCTTCTTCCTTCCTTTCTTTCCTTCTTTCTCTTTCCTTCTTTCTTTTTCTTTTTCTTTCTTTCCCTCTTTCTTTTCTTTTTCTTTCTTTCTTTCTCCTTCCCTCCCTCCCTTTGTTTGTTCCTTCCTTCCTTCCTTCCTTCCTTCCTTCCTTTCTTCCTTTCTTTCTCCCTCTTTCTCCTTCACCAGAACTCTCATGTTGGAAACAAACACTTTGTCTTTCCCTCAGTGGTTAAGATCATGGGTTCTGGATTTAGATTGTCTGCATGTGAATCCTTGGACAAGTTGTTTAACCTCTCTCCGTTTCCTCATATGTCAAATAGGGATAATAATAGTATCTAACTCATCGGAAGATAATGAAGGTGCTTTCTGTAATGCCTAGTACAGAGTTGGCACTCGTTAAAAATACCTGTTGTGATATGTAAACACATGTTAGGTTGATGGTACTTAATAGGTTGGCAGTATAGGTTGGCAGTATAGTATGGTACTTAATAGGTTGGCTAAATGAATGAATGCATGGTAAGGTAGAGGTAGGATTATGGGTTCCTAAGTCTTAACTTCTGAATCCAGAGGGAAAACAAGCAGTAAGTAACTTGTCACTTAATTGCTCTTTTGTAAAAGAATAAATGGAACCAAGAAAGATGATCCTGGCAATGGGTTAGTTTTATGGAACATTGATAGGGATCCCAGATTTGGTAAATTAGAATTAGGAAAAGGGACTGCTGGCTCGTAATAGTTTTTGTTTTACAAATTGGATCTGGAAAAGAAATAACTCAAGTGTCGGAAAAATTAAAGCCGAATTCATTGGAAAGAATGAGGGGTCAACTGGGAGCATTTCCTTATTTTGCACAATGGCCTGTCATTGACCTACGAGGAGTGACAGGAAGAAGAATGTCTTAGTCCTAATTAGTGTCTTATTTCCATAAATACAGTGTTGTGGTTTGTGCTCAAAAGAAGGATGGGGTGGGAACACATTGGGGAAAATGGGGTCATGCAGCAACAGTCAACTCTTTGGTATTGATATGTGAAGAGGAATTTTTTGGTGCTTCGTAGCTAATGCCTGCAAGCATGAAATATCATCATCGTGAAAAAAATCCTTGTGCTTATCCCAAAATTTTCCACAGCAAGGACCTCCTCTACGGGTTAAGTTCACATGGTGTGAAGAAATCTTTTCTTTATTGGTTCTACGTTTACTCAATTTTCTAGCCATCAGTTTTCAAGAATGACTCCATCATGATACATCAGGGAAGATTTGCCACTGCCTGTGCGAAATAGCCGTCTTCTCCTTTTTTTTTTTTTAATAATTGGAAACAATTTTCATTAATCTTTCATTTAAACGTATCATAGTATAAAGTACAATCATAATTCCTCTTAAAGGCACAAAGTATATTTGAAGATAGGACAGTTTGGGAAGAAAATAATCAAGTCATAGAGAATTTTCCAACTAGGAAGTGACTTAAAGACATCAACCAGATCAGCAATTCCCAATCTGAGAGGTTTGGGGATCTTCTTTGTCAAATGGTTAGTAAATATAAATAATATTTATAGTCTAAATATCTATCTAGTACATTGAGTATTGTGATTATTAAAATGTATTCATTTTAAATTGCTAATGAATTTAAGGTGGCTTGGTGGCACCTGTAGGTTAATTGATACATAACAAACATGTAACCTCTGTCAGGGGGGGAGATGTGGCAAAATAATCTTTTTACATTATAAGAGGTCTTCTTAGGGGACTTAGGAAACCCTGGGCTGGCAGCATCCACATAGAGGCCTGAATGGGTATCAGCAATAAACCTATTACAGACCACAGCCAAATCCAGCCCTGGGCCAGACCTGAAAAACTAGCATCTAGCCTCAGACAAGAATGGATAAAACCTCACAATTCTTCTTCCATCTCTTGCTTTTCTCCTCAAGTCAGTGCTCCTTGGGACTGCAACGGGCATTTGTTTATTATGAAATTACTGCTTTTCAAACTAACAACAGATAATACCTGCTTTGGTGAATTAGCTTTTATATAACAAAAAATGTTTAAAGTCTTTTATTAGCTAATCCTTAGCAAGAACTGCTACAGTGGAGTGGTGCCGGATTACTTTTTTTTACAATGAAGGTGTTAAAAAATATAGGAAAGTGTTCAAGATCAAGTTATTAAATTTGATATTCAAAATATGAGTCCTAGAACATGAATTCTATTCTATCAGATGCTAACTTCTGAAAAAAGAAAACTGATTTTATTCTAAATTTAGCCAAATATTAACCATATGGGAACTTTTTAGCAAGTTCCACTTGAATGAAGAATTTATGTCCTTCAGGATAATTTTTAAACTGTGTGCTAAATAGTGTCTTATAAACTACAAATAAAACACAGATTTCCAAGCAAAATTCTGGGCTCTCTCTATCCCCATATATCACCTTTATGGGAAAGTGACTGCTTTGCTTTTCTCCTTGACCAAAAATCAACAGACTGCCATGCCATCTTTCAGTGATTTATTTATTCATATCATATACAGTTAGAGACAAAAATAAAGAAGGGAGGAATATATATTGAATGTAGTGATCCTCCCTTTTTTTAAATAACCTTTATCATAGACTTTTTTTAAAAAGTCATTTTCCTCTGGACTAATCCATTCTTTTTTTTTTTTTTTAACATCTTTATTGGGGTATAATTGCTTTACAATGGTGTGTTAGTTTCTGCTTAATCCATTCTTAATTGAGAATTAGTATAAGAATTCAAAAAGGAAAATTTCCTTGTTTTTCTTTCAGTATATACAGAGGTAGAGGAAAGTAAATATTTAGAAAGCTTTAAAGTCTAATAAATAGTAAATTATTATTTCTTATTGATTGACCTGATAATTTGAGGAGTTTTCTGAAGCCAAAAATGATTCCAAAACATTTAAAAATTTACGTACCATTTGAATGTTGACTGAATGGTGTGGATGGCCGATTAACTGATTAGATCAGTGAATTCACTCAAAGACACTATCTTCTGTTTGTGGTTCTGTTTAGATTCAGAACCATAGGTGGAAAGGAACATGAAAGTAGTGGATATTTGTTCTTAAATCTAAATGTGGATGGATGTGCCTAATAATAATAATAATAATGACAACTACTATTTATACCTAACATTTTTAACTCACTAGGTAGTTTAAAATATAATGGCTTGCTTATTCCTCTAAATAACCCTGTGAGGTCAGTACATTTTTATTTCCGTTTTACAGATGAGACTAAGGCAAAATAGTAAGGAATTTGTTCAAGGCCCTTCAGCTCATAAACAACAGAGACGGGATTCAAACCAGGCAACCTGACTCCAGGTGGTACCAGACTCTTTCACCATCACACTGTATTGCTTTGACCCATAGCAACACCTGGTTCACTGAAAGTGCAGTGCTTGTTATATGTGCGACGCTCTCAGATATTTTCATTAAAATCCACGTTTCTGGAGTTTTCTAGTCTCAGATTCTTTGCAAAGAGCATTCACATCCCTTTGCAGATAGTTTTTATACTCCTTCCTTAAGACGAATGTCCTATGTTGCTGTTGTCCTATGAAGAAGAAAATCAGGTGTGCCAGCCTTCCAGCTTCCATTGCCAAAGCATTTGTTAATCTTACTATTTTATGGTTCATTGTGCTTATGTAAAACATTTTATTCTACAAATGTCCCATCAGAAATGTCACCTGTGAATTTCATCAGCAGAATCCTCTGAAAAAATCATTCAGTAATCGCAAAATGTAAGAAAAAGACAGATACTACGTGATATTAGGAACCTGATATCTGACGCTGCTGCTTCTTGTACTTGCCGTGAACTGTGCCCTAGTAATAGAAGAGCCTCCCCTTCCGTCGCTTATACCCACAGAGCATTAATTACACACGTAGTGATGATGAATTAGGAATGTAGCTATCCCTATTTAAAGCACTGCTATTTCATGTTTAGCTAACTCCTAGTAGGATGTGATCATACATTGCCTACGTTGGTGCTTCTACTCCTTAAGCAACATTTTACAGTTAAAAGGTTAACTTTCAGAGTCACTGATTCAACAATCATTCCATAAGCATTTTATGTCTCATACAACCACACATCAGCCTTTGAGAAACTTTGCAATTCATTTCTAAATCATCTGCATGATTATTGCATGATTGCTTATGGATTTATGTAGTTTCATAAATATTTAATGTTAATGTCATTATCAGGTGTGGAAAAAGGACAAAACATACACAATAGATACTTAAGCTTGAAACTTTCTTGTCTGTCAGTCTCTTCAAAGATATCTGAATTACTTTCTAAATCTATGTCTCAATAAACATTACCTAGGATTGCTTAATTGATGCAGACCCTGGGGGTAAAAATATCTAGAAGATAGACTGCCACAAAAATCCTAGGAATTGTTTTATGATTAATATTTTTTCTCAGTTTAGCACTACCACTAACAGACAGGTTAAAAACCTGCTAGTGAGAGCAACAAAACAATAGCTATTAAAGCCTTCATTTTTATTGCATTGGCTATCGCTGGTAATATCTATTTGACTTAGAAATTATCCCCAATAAAATTACACACAAATGAGATTGTATTCTATCTTGCAATGCATCTTACTCTGTAAGGAATGATTTGTGTAATTGCTAATAATTTATTGTACGGCTGGCTAGACACCAATTCTCACCCATGGCTGCACTTTAAACTCAGTCAGTTTCGGAAAAAATTCCTGAAGTCTGGGCCTTACTTTCCCAAAGGTTGTGATTCATTTGGTTTGGGAAGGGCTTCAAATGAATGTATCCTTATAAGCAGAAAGCTTGATGTTTTAACTAAAACATGGAAAAAAGAAAGAATACTGAGTCACGTGGTTTAGATCCAAGTTCTAGTCCTGACTGAACATAAACTTTTGTGTGATCTTGTATAGGTCATTTAACAGCTCTGGGCTAGATTTTTTTCGTTCTTAAAATGCAGGTTTGAACCATATGATCTCCAATGGTATAGCTTTCTATGACTTCTGAATCTGGTACTGAGAAGATGGAAGCACAGCTTTTTATCTCTTGACTGTATGTGCTTTAAGCATTGAGCAATTTTAGGCATTGGCTAAAATATCCTAGAGTGATAGCACAGATAATGTCCTCAGGATTTGAAAAAGTAGTTTATCTTCCAAACGGGCTACTGCAGTTCTCTAAATCTTGCCTTCATCTCCCGTAGTATTTTTGCTTAGGTGTTTTGGTCATTTTCTTCCCCTTGCTTATAACTTATAAATCATAAAGTCCACAAAAACTATGTGGGGTTTAGAAACTTGAAAATCTTGATCCTGTTGCAGATAAAGAGGACTGTATTGTAGTATAAACCAAATCACATTTATGACAAAATTTTCACTTTTTCTGAGAGAAAAAAGGGTATATGATAAATGTGCCAAAAATCAGGAAAAAAAAATTTTATGGGAAGAAAGAAGGAAGGAAGGGAGGAAAGAAGGAAGGAAGGAAAGAAAGAAAGAAAAAGAAAGAAAGGGAAGGAAGGAAAGAAGGAAGGAAGGAAGAGAAAGAAAGAAAAAGAAAGAAAGAAAGACACTAAATCAATAATAGTTAGAAGCACTAAGTTGCAATCCTGGCTCCTATCATTCATGAGTCTTTTGACCTTATGAGCTTGTTTATACTGTAGTAGCCTCATCTGTAAAACCTGGAAATAATTGTTCCTTGCATTCATCTCAGATATTTATTTAGTGCCAAGATATATAAGAGGGTCAAAAATTTAAAAGGGCAACCATGATAGTGCTGGATTCCTAAAGCAAAAGGTGGGCGTTCCAAACAGGAGGCATAGGTACCAGTAGCAGGTGGAACAATGAGGTCAAGACAATAGGAATGGAGGAAGGAGTTTGGCAAGAATGAGGTCACTGGTAACCTTTCAGGAGAAAGTTCAGTGGAATGGAGAGGACAGAAGTCAGATTACAGGCACATAATGTCCTGTATTTCTTCTAATACTAAATATTACTAGCAGAGGAGTTGTTAGTGAGCCTCAGCATGGGAATATTCATAGCACAGGCCTCCCAATAAGTCATCAAAACTACGTGTAAAACTCATGTTGTAGAGATGAGTCATTCTTCCAGGCAGGCCTCTGTTTAACTCATATAGTATTCAAATGAACAAGATAAGGAAGCTGCTTATGGTGGGCCTTACTAGAACATGCTTTTCTTATCTTTTGCTTATTTAATTTGGAGGGAAATATCAAAAATAATTTTCTTCACCTCTACATAGCTCTAAGAAGGTATCCTTATATACTTTAATAGAGGGATTAGGGACAAAGTGATCTATACATACATAATGAGATTCTATACATACTATCTCATTCACTCCTTATTTAAATGTTTTGGTCTCTCCTCTTATTCCTTTCCTACCTATCCCTATTCCACTATTTGTATGTGAGGGTGAGGGGGTACAGGGAGATATTGGGTTGGCCAAAATGTTTGTTCAGGTTTTTCTGTAAGATGTTGTGGGAAAACCCAAATGAACTTTTTGGCCAACCCAATACATACAACAGGTACTCTCTCTATAGAGAGTATACATACATACATACATACACACACACACACACATATATAGTATCTGTTGTATCTGCAGTGAGGGCAAATAGCTGACTCTAGAGAAACAGACATCTTTATATGGTGCTTCAATCTTTATATGGTGCTGTAGAACTTAAACTGATCTGGACTTCAGAATAGCATAAGATCAAAAAAATAAGGGGCTTCCCTGGTGGTGCAATGGTTAAGAATCTGCCTGCCAATGCAGGGGACACGGGTTCGAGCCCTTGTCAGGGAAGATCCCACATGCTGCGGAGCAACTAAGCCCGTGCACCACAACTACTGAGGCTGGGCTCTAGAGCCCGTGCTCCTCAATAAGAGAAACCACAGCAATGAGAAGCTCCACAATGAAGAGTAGCCCCCATTCGCCACAACTAGAGAAAGCCTGCGCACAGCAATGAACACCCAACACAACCAAAAATACATAAAAAGTAAATGTATTTTTTTAAAAAATGACGTGAAAGGAATGCCAGTCCTACAACTCCTAGAGTCTCCTCTCAAGTTACTGTGGCTCTTGGACTGTAAATTCAGACTCAAGATTCTTCAAAACTCCCATCATCTCACCAATCAACTCCCCGAACTCCCTGTAACAGCATTAATTTTCCTTCCTCTAAAGATGCCTCTTAATACATACCTATTTGTAAAATCTAGTTATCTTTCTAGCTTTGTACCAGAGGAAATAGTTCTTCAGATCTATCGGTCCTGGGTTAGTGTAACTGCATTCCTAAGAATTTAAGAAAAATAAAGTTAAAGGAAACCCAAAATCTCACCAAAAGGAAACCTGAGTTTTACATGAATCTTGAATCAATTTCCTCGAGGCCTCCTGTACCCTACCTAGATGACAGAGTGTGTCTCTGGATTTGGAAAGAAGATCGCCCAGGTAGCTGTGGGGCTCCACGAGGAATGATTGTAAACTGCCCTTCCCTTTGCAGTTACCCTGTGCTGCCAGTCTTGTAATGGATATCATGGCATCCTAACAGGAAAGCTTCCACTCTTTGTTCTGGTGTCTGTTGTACCAAGGTCTCTGGTGGCTCTGATAAGTCCTTGACTCTCCAAAATCACAAGTCAATAAAAGATATTCAAAATCAAGCTCAACAATGGATAGGGATAGGCTGGGATAGGCTAGGGATAGCTTTTGATGTTAGAGGATAAATTTGAGGATGGAAGCATCGATGTTTATACATTTCTGCTTTTGTGACTTTTTAGTTCAAAATAGTTTTATGACACTTGAGCCACAGGTTCTTGGCAGTTTTGTTTAATTTTTGTTCTGGCTCACATTCAAATGAGTGTCAGCTTTATTATTACTTCCTCTGGAAAACTTCCCTCATCTTTCTAGACCATATTAAGGACTTCCAGTGATAGCCTTTATTACATCCTGAACTTTCTTCATCATAAAACTTATCAGTTCTTCATGTATTTGCTTCTTTGCTTCTCTCATGGAAGAATAAGCGCTATGAGGAAAGGATCCATAACTATGCTTTTGAGTAACTTGAAGTTAAAATTTTTAGAACATTGCCTGGCACATAATAAGTTACACAATAAGTATTGACTTTTATTATTGTTAGGGGTGATTTAAAAGTTGTGTTCTGAATACCAGATTCTAATATTCTTGAAGCCAAAGTAATGCCTTACTTGTGTTTGGATACACTTCTATACCTAGTGTCTTGCCCATAGTAGGCACTAAATACATAGTTGTTGAATGAATTTGTTGATTACCAAAGCTGAACTCCATATTATAAATTATAAGAAGAGAAGGAAATTACACTGGGACTCAGTTGTCCTATATCTGGCAGTGATCCAACATGACAATGTTAATAATTATTGCCAGTATAATCCTATTACATTAATAGTGTGCATTTTATCGCAACAGGCTCCTAG